GTTAAAGTCAGTCCAAGTCTGGGATCAGTGGTGCACCATTGTGATTCTCTGAAATCTTACTCACAAATTTCAAGAAGCAAAACAAAAAAAAAGTCATTATAAATTCCTAGATCAGTGGTTCCAAACTGTGGTTCATGAGACGTTAGTAAGTACTGTGCAAAACTGTCCTAAATAGTGTTTTCTGTTGCAAATCTGACAAAGCTTCTAAAATTGACCTCAACAAACACTGAGGTTCCCACTAATCCATCGTCCACAAAGGAATCACTCTTCTAGGTGATATGACAAAACTGAGAAGTAAAAACAAATGCTGGCTGGTGATCCTAACCACCTCCCAACCCTCTTTGGACAAAGTAGTCTGCGTGTTGCATCTTGCATGGCCCTGGCCAGGGGCTGAAGACTGCTGCTGTTTCCATCTAAGGGACGGTGCTGCCTGGCCCCTAGACTGATCCTTCCAGCGAAATTACCCTCCCATTTCTCCCCTTTGCTCAATTAACATCCGCCGTTGTTAATTTGGTGACATTTTGCTTCTACATTTTGTAGTGCGGGTGTGTGAGTGGACAGTGTGACAGAGCATTGGTCATTTTTACCGTGTGTTAACATGTCTTCCCTCCTTCCCTTCCGACCCGGAGCAGCGTGCTCGACAGCGCAAGTCGCCTGGATGAAGAGCATAAGCTGATCGCCAGGTATGCAGCAAGGCTGGCAGCAGAAACTTCTTCATCAGTAAGTGTTTTAATTAAAGGAAGGTACTTGCCTTCTGTCATGTTCCAGGGGCTTGGCAAGATCAGGGAAATTACATCTGACAGTCTTAATGATTAACGAGTTATTTTTCCCTGTCTTTTTCATCAGACCCTGTTATGCTTCAGTAATAATTATGCAGTTCATTTAAACCAAAGAATACACATACTAATGCATATAATCTATATACTAATGCAATGGTATTTAAACAATTACAGCAAAAAGAATCTGACATCTTGAACTCAGGAAAGACTATAAAATATTGTCTGGACTAGCTTTGGTTAAAGGTTAATGATTTACTGCAGTGGAAAAAATGGGGTGGTGAATCCATTTTACTCTTTAGTTCAAATATCACGGCCACTAGGGCCCTAAGTGCTGAGGATTTTAAAGAATGATCTTCAAAAAAGTAATGACCCCCTGCATTAGCCCTGGCTCCCATTTTCATTTCAGAGCAATGATTATTCTGCTCTATGTATCCCAAGATAGAAGGTGATGACAGGCTAAAACCTCACTAACTATATTCAGGAATAAGAGAGAATGAAGCAGGAATCTAATTGAAGTATATAAAATCTTAAATGGCACAAATAAGGTCAGCCTAGTTACTTTTCTTCCATCTCAGCACATGTGATACAAGGGACCATAAACGATGGTTAAGTGAAAAGCAGCTGGTCCAGCATGCCCGGAAGCAAATTTTCACACTGAGATTTACACTACGAGGTCAACTGAAAGGGCGAAATCCAGCACCAAAGAAAACATTGACTCACACTCATCCCAAGTGAAAGCAGTGAAGATGCTGCCAGCCCAGCCCAAATCAATTCCTTCCAGAGGTGTAACACAGTGCTTCAAATTTAAGGCAACTTGTAGGTGATGGTCCTGTTTCTGAAGGATAGTAATTCCTTATGGGAACAAGATTTCCCATTAATAATGTTTCTGGGTAGAACCTGGTAGAAATCAGTTGCATGTAACATGTCTGTGATATGGGGAAAACTTAGGAAACAGTATTTCAGTAGCTTTTAAATAGAGCTAGCTTGGAGGAAAATAATTTCTCTCTGCCATCCGTCTGTGCTCTTTGAGTGAAAGAGACAGATGAAAGAAGGTTTCTGTATATAGAAATCTTTCCAAGCACAAGAGTGGCACCACATTAGGAGCATAGTGGAAGTTTTTAAAGCTTTGCTGATGGTCATTCTTTTTTAAGGAATTAAATGGATGAATAACACTGGGCATTCAGGATAAAGATCCTGGTTCCTTCTATCAGTTGTGACATCCACCAGCATGTATCAGTTCTTTATGCACTCCTCTGGTTTCCTGTGGTTGGAGTGTTAGTGACAAAATGTACCTGCAGCAGAAAAAATAGTAAATAGTCCTTTCCCCGCAGACAGTGCTAACAACAGTTAGCACTGAGATCTATCTTCATCCTTTCTGAAGGTCCATTCCTGCAAGGTGTCACCTCCTGGAGGAGGAGCTGCCTGGTATCGCATAAAATTGGGCTCCAGAGTTGTGGGACCATGGGGCTCTCATGGTGAGAAACACTCAGATCAGAGCAGTAACTCAGCAGAGTATTTTTTAATGTCTAATTTTTTCAGGTTGGAGTTAGAAATAAATTGGTATCTTTGATAGCTGTGAAACTTTAAATGTCTTGCTCTGCATTGTCAATGATACGATACTGAAATACGGTGTGAACTAACAAACCAATATTTGGTTATTGCTGATGAACATGAAAAAAGAGCATAGTCCAATGAAGTGGTGGCAAGCACTGCTTAGCCTGGTAAGAAATAGTTTCATTACCACTTAATTCTATTGGATAAAAAAGGTTGTGCTGTACCTGAAGGACTGGGGAAAGAGCTTTCCTGAAGTATCACCAGAACGGAAAGGAAAACTTGGCCAAATGGGCCACAAAGCCAGACTGAAAACTAAAAACACCTTTCAGACTGAACGTAAAACCATACTTTCAAGAGAAAGAAGCATCACTGCACTGGAAACACATCCTCTTCTTTTTGGAGAGGAACACTGTTTTTTGCTTCAGGGTATTCCTCTTGTCTGTAATATCAAAATTAAGAGTCATATTACATCAACTGCCTGCACCAGTGCCATTGCCTTTTACAGTTGGTTCAGAGGAAGCTCCTTGAAGCAATGAATGACAGGATGGTAAACACTGACTTTTGTTTACTCTAGCGCTTACCCTCCTTTTACTAGCAATGGAGCTGTACTGGTATGAGCACAACGTGGATGCTCTTTTTTTAGTGTAGGCAAGGCTGGTACTGCATTTTCTGTAAGGAGATTTCACAGAGCAGATCTGTGTTGAACTCGTGGGTGCATGTTGGCTATTCCTCCTTCAGTGCAGCCTTCTCTTTTACAACAGCAACAGGGTCAGCAGAGAGGGGCATCGGATATCTCCTTCACCATTGATGCAAACAAGCAACAAAGGCAGCTGATTGCAGAGCTTGAAAATAAAAACCGGTAAGCATCTACAAAGTGCCTCGTTTTGTTCAGTCCCATGTATTGTGTATGTTTCTTTGGTTTATCATATACATTTTTCACCACCTATTTCTGTGCAATGTGCACGTACACCTCCCCCTACAAAAAGCACAGGGCACAAAATGGGCTACAGAATATGACAAAAGCTTTGAAATCCCCAGGCACCCTGTGCTTTTAGTGAGTGTACTGTTCAGCTGCATGATATAACAATCTGTACTTGACTGTTTGCAACTGCTGTCTGTTAAGAGTTAAAAAAAAAAAAAAGTGCTTGTCCTGTTTCAAGACCAGATTAACTTTGAGTTGGATTCTCTGTAGCACTATAACATGAAATGATAAAAGGATCAGTCACACTGCTAATGTTATGCTCCCCTGCTTTTATTTGTGAAAAAGATTAAAGCTCTGCAGAAGAGTCTGCCCTGGGAAGGGTTTGCAGAAAGGTTAGCAGCAAGTTAGGCTGCTGATCAAATGAGACACTAGGTACAAATGTAATCAAGACTGAGAAAGTGTCCAGGAGAAATAGGCCAGCCTAAAAGGAGTGGTGCCCGTTTGTCAGCAGCGGAGGATCTGGCCCTCGGTGTCAGACTGCCTGATGCCATGAGATGTGTGGCAGCGGAGCACTGCTTTTACTGCCGGACTGTAAAATAGAGGCAGCCCAGACCAGATGGTTTTCTATTCCAAACTCTGCACTGTCTTCCGTCACCATGTAACGAGCCACCAGCTCCAGTCTCAATTTGTCTTTCACAGTTCGAAGCTGCCTTCTGTCTGTCTGCTATCCAGCACGTTGTGAAAGAGAAAAAAATCTACAAAGATTTCAACCTGCTGCTGCAAAGCTTTGTATTAGCCAGTGCTCCTATGGCAAGCCAGCCATAACAAGTCCTATTAAAGGGCTTCTCCATGAATTGTTGACTGCTGTCACATCTCTAGCTACGCTAAAAGTATTTTTTTAAGTGCGAAATATTTTCTCTGATACTTGAGAGGGGCAAGATATTGTTTTAGTTTTTGTGAATTTCGTATGATGCTTGAAATGTTCATGGGGAAGAAGTAGAAGGGAGCAATTTAATTAAGGATATTGCTATTTGATATCTACCTCTTGATTCTTGGAGATCTTGAAGAAATATTGCCCTTTATGGTGAAATCCTAAAAGTTTATTTTAAAAAATCATGAGAAACCTGTCCCAGTGCTGAGGGCTTCTTTTGTTGGTTGGAGCCCAGTCATTCTATCCACCTTGATGAGGAGCTACATACGGTCACACTTTTTTCTCCTGTTGCGATGTCCAGTGAGGTGGTTTTGGGGAAAATTATTGACTTGTGGTCTTCTGCTTCTTCTCCTCCCCAAGAGAAATCCTACAGGAGATCCAGAGGCTGCGACTTGAACATGAGCAAGCGTCTCAGCCCACACCAGAGAAGGCACAACAAAATCCCACCCTCCTTGCAGAGCTCCGGCTCCTGAGGTAAGTCCACAGCAGTAAAACCTCCAGCAATGACTGGGGCCAGCCAGTCATTCTCAGTTAAAGAAGAAATAAGAGATAAGCCTGGCTTACGGTTTCGGGTGCTTTTTTAAGTAAATAACACAATGTGGATTTTTTTCTCCATTTTTGGTGCAGGCTGTAGTCCTAAAAGTAATTAAGCTTATGCTTTAAACAGCATGCATGAGGAATCTCACATATTACTCATCTACATTAAATTAAGCATGTGCATTAGTGTTTGCAGAGTTAGGCCCTCAGGTCATTTGGAATAGGTCTCCACAGCCTTGTCCAAATGCCGGTAATTATATGGGGAAAAAACGTCATTCTGTCAGAACAAATGCTTCTACAAAGACTTCTCATTTATACTAAAGTAAATACAGAGCTACATGAAAATACAGCCAGAATTAGAAGTTAGTTTTTGGAAATTTCCCCATGTGTCAAACTTTAAGGAGAGGTCACTTCTCTTCATGGTGCAAAACCAGGGTGCAGCATGATCCTCCTTCTCATGTGGGAAGTGAGGGGTAATGTCACCTGCAGCAGCTGAAGATTTAGAGGATCGTTCCTCCAGTTATCCCACCAAGCTAAAAGCGTTGGTATGGATGTGTCTGCATGGTAATTAGGGTACTCTACATGAATATACTAACTGCCATGTAAATCGCATTGAAGAAGCACAATTGTCATTGGCCCAGATCTGTAGGCTCCCTGCAAGTCCTGAGGTTAATGTTGAAGTTAATGTCAGACAGAGAATCCAGTCTTCATGTGAATACAAAGTAGAGTGTAAACACTTTCTTTCTAGTGAAACGATGCTAGATTGTTATTCCCCCCGCCACAGAGCAGAGAAAACTAAAGAACATTTTTGGCCACTTAGCCGTTCCTCACACAAGTAATATTTTAGTGGGCTGATTCATAACCAAAGGAAATTACTGGAAGAAATTGTGTTAATTTTTTTCCTTACTGTATAGTTTTATTATTGAGTTTTCCACACTAAGATATTTTTCTGTTTCACAAATAGTTACATTTGCTTTCCAATCTGAAGACAAATTAACTTCTTCATTTCTATGAGTGATTTTAGTATGTAATTACTCCTAGATATCTAGAGGCAAGTGACATTGTGTGAGAGATATAAAACTGACTGTGATGAAAATGCATACACTGCATAAAATGTACCAATAAAGTAGCTCCTGTGCATCAAGCCTAAAGTCTATTTTAAGCAGGTTTAGGAGATGAGCTTTCTATGTAGTGGACAAATAAAATTCATTATCCTTAAAAAAAAAAGTTATTATGCAATGTTAGCAGACAGACTTTTTATTTTTTCCTTCTTTTCAATTTTGTACACATATTAAAAGTATAATAATCTTATTTGCATTTCCTGGCATGGGATGTCCCTAGAGCAGTGATGCTGAGTTCCTCAATCATTATATACCTTTTCTGATTTAGTGTGCAGTATCAGAGTCAGAAAATAACTTCTAATCTGTGGGTCTGTACTGCTTTGCATACCTTCTAAAACGTTTACCATTTGAAAGGCAAAAGATTGGCTTTTGATTTACTGTGAAATTTCAACACGACCTCAAATTCCTAGACTTAAGATGTCACGAGGCTGTTCATATCATGTGTAAAACAGCAGGACGCAGAGAGCCACACTGATTTACATCTCTCACCCCACAGTTTTTTGGGGCACTAGGGCAATTTGGTTCATGTAAGTGCTGGAGTCTGTAAATTATGTTGTGGGTACCTGTCCCAGCATCTTTCACTAGCTGCTGTAGTGTTGCAGACTCACTGAAATGAGGTTCTGAACACAGGATTCCTTCACGTTACCAGGGCTGTCTTGGAGACAGGTTGGAAAGCCCATTAGTTCCAAGAACTTGCTCTGGAGTACAGCAGGAGAAGAGTCGGGGGAGCGGTCTGTACCTTGTATGCTCCTTAGGTCTCCCCATAGAATCTAAACCCCAGCAGAGATCTGTGCTAGGACCCGCCACTTTGAATTACATGGATAGAGTATCTTATTTTTACTAGCAGTTTCTTAAACTCAGTTGCCTTTGTACAGTTCACAGCATTTCCAGCCATTACATGCCTGGAAAAGAAAAGCCAGCATAGACAATTTGGAGCAGAAAATAGATTAATTCTCCAGAGGAGTAAATACAACTTGGCAGTGTTACTATCTGATCCTATTATATAGGTGCACACATGAGCAATCCTGTAGAAATCAGTGTTGTTTATATCAGTAACTGCTCCAGAGGAAGCTCAAAATCAGTGTTTCGTATTTTCCTAAATATAGGAAATACACTTAGTCTTGTTGACTCTGGTGCTTTTTCATTTAGGATTAAATTGTCATATTTTGCAGGTAGTACAGGGCTAAAGACATAGTGGTTTCATGTTATTTGCAACACAGTAGTGTAAAATATGAATATTTTTCAACAGTAATGTTATTAATTACATCATAGCTTCCAGGAGGCAAAAATTCTGTTTTGTATTTATGTGGGGACCTCTCACACAATTTAGTGATTGAACATGTGCCAGTGCTGAACCCCCATCCTGTGCAGCGGAGCTGTGCAGAATCAAAGCTGCTCGCGTTTCTGTGGGCACAAACTGGCTGTCACCTTGGAGTGGCTCAGTATGCACCCTGTCGTAGGACCAGCACTGGGACTCTGGAGTCCAAAGAGCTATTTCCAAGCAGTTATATTTCCACTGTGTGATAGTCTTGCTTCCAGAAAAAGATAGAAACAAAAACAGGTCGCTGTGGTTTTCTGGCTGAATTTCTGAACTCTCTTAGCTTCTCTCATCTCAGTCTGTTCAGTGCCCTTGCTGTAATTTCCTGTCCTTCAGGGCATGGCTTTGATTTCTCCTGATAGCTAGTGAGGTTATTGACTAGAGATCCAAAGACAAAAAACTGCCAGGCATTCCCACAAGGGAATATAACACAAATTTGTTTGAACCGTATTTGGAGAAGGCTCTGTGTCAGTGTCTGTCTTTTTCCTAATCACTGTGTTCAGTGCAAGGGGACTCCCCAGCTTTCATGTCACCCTGTTTCTGAGCACTATGCTGGATTCATACAGTGTGTTTGCTTTCCTGCAATCTATAGGTATACACATCAGTCAGGCTGGGGAAACAATGCAGTTAAAAGGTGCTGATGCTGTGAGGGGTAAGCTCTGATCAGATCTGCTTGTTTCTCAGACAGCGGAAGGATGAGCTGGAACAGAGGATGTCTGCTCTCCAGGAAAGCCGGAGGGAGCTTATGGTTCAGTTAGAAGGCCTCATGAAACTGCTGAAGGTAAGGAGCTCCCCTTGATACCACCAAGGAGAAAAGGCAGAGTGAAGCAAGAGAGGAGAGGGAGGAGAGATGACCACAGAATTCTGCAGAACTTGACTATTTCCACCCATAAAAACTTGGCTTTGTTTCCTTCCCTTTCTGTTTTTTGCTTTGGTTTTTCAGTTCAGGGGTTTCAAATAATGTTGTTCCTGCAATAACACATCATCATTGTCACCTCCTGCTAAGTGGATGGAACCTTAGAGACAGCTCCAAACTATTGAAGAATTAATACAATCCTTTGAATAATACTGCAGCCTGGTACACTACAGTCCTGTTTTGCTCATTTGCAGATTTGGCTGCATCTCAAAACTTCAGGCTGGCAATCTCTGAATCAACCATTCATCAATGTCCAAACACAAAATATTTTGTGGTCCGGTTTCAGGTGTTGTTAGAGTTTTCTCTGTTGAGGACATCAAATGCAAAATGAGAAAATAAACAAAACAACACATAAAATGAGATAACTAATAACTGTGGGGAAAACAACTGCTATTATCTACTCCAGCTGACAGTATAAAATTGTTTTTACTAGCTTGTTGACTATTCACCTGCTAGTTCTGTCAGACATGCCATTTGACAACCACATCTGACTCTCTGATCTTAGAGATGCTTCCCCAACAACACATGGTCATTTTCATAAGTACAGAAACAAGCCCTTGTTAAATGGATGAAACTTGCCTCAACAAAGGATCTCAGTTAAAAAGTAAGGTATCAAAAAGCATGTCCATTTTTAAGACAGAGTATGGTAAGATAGAAAATATATCTGTATTTGCAGAGTGCAGGCCTATTTACCTGATGTGCCTCAGGACAGATGATGCCAGAAATTGACATTGGAAGAAAGTGCTCTGAATACCATTGGGATCTGTTTTGTTGTTGGCCGTGCCAGATAAAATGAGTGCGTGGAAATTCAGTGCAACTTGGGTCAAATATGGCTCTGATAAAAGCAGAAAGAATTCCACTGGGATCCATTTAGCAACATGTATTTGCAGCAAAGGATGAGTTTGACCCTGTATGTCATCTCCTCGGGCACAGGCTTCTGCAGCCACCATGCAGGAAGCGGTGGCACCAGACCAGCAGAGCCAGCCAAGTAGCCAGTAGATTTTTGGGAGCTGAGAGTAGACAGGATACTTTTCACCCTACCTATGAAATGCTGCAATGCTACAACAAGCAGTCAGGGCTGCCTGCTGTAATTGCACTGCCTGGACAAAGAGAATTTGGGGTAGGAAGTTATAGTAGCTTTCTGCATGCTTTGCAGGTGTTTCAAAGTGTGCAGAGGTGGGACCATGACCTGGTCACAACTGTCTCAGCTGTAGCTTTAACCCTGTACTCCAAATTTGGCTTTGTTTTCTGTTCTTCACTTATATCCTGGCTAATCTCATGTGCTGATCCTCTTTTTCTTTAGGAAGAAGAATTGAAACAGGTAGTAAATTACCTCCTTATTGGAGGGCTCACTAACTCCTACATGTGATTGTGTTCCTGTGATTTATTTTACTTCCTTTGCTTGAAATGTGTGTGTGTTCTTTTGACCAAATTTAATATTTTGCAATTCTTTCACACATTTTTTCAAGTATCTTGCATTTTCACAATTAAACCTCTTAGCCCTCTGGAAAGTGAGTCATGCCTACAAGGAGTCTTGATCTTTTTCTCACTCCTCTAAATAAGAACATGTAAAATATGGAAACCACCACCCAAATGTAGTGAAACCAACCTGGAATATGAAATAAAGAACACTTCTACCATAGATAACATTCTGAAAATGTAATGAGAATTTTAGAACTTTAAGAAAAATATAACTGACTTTAAATTAGACCAGGACAATGAGTTTGAAATCCCACTTTATCCAGAAAAAGTCAGGGCATGGTGTGCACATCTTTTAAAGTCACTTTATCAGTGTTATCAGTTAGTATCAGTCACAAAACTGATATTAACAGTTTCATGAGTCTTCAGGAAAATAATTTAGTTTCTAAATAGCTTCTACCAGCTAGATCAAAAAAGGCAAGTATTTATATTACTAATGGTAAATTTTAGAAGATTTAACTGTTTTGGAGCTTTTTAGTGTTGAAATGGATCTTGGAAAAATATTAGGCTAAAAAAAAAGCACTTTTCAGACAGCAGTCTGATTTATGAGTCCAATAAAAAATGTTTCATTCCAATAAAACACACTTCCTCTTGCTTTCATCAGCAGAAGCACAGCCACAGGTCTGATGTGTTACGGCTATGGTAGAGCATGCAGAGTTTGTAGGTAATGTTCACCTTCATAAAACTAACATTTTGGCTAATTTTTGTAGAGCATCAATCTGTTGCACCAAAAAAAAAAAAAAAAAAAAAAAAAGCTGATCAAACATTACCTCCATGTAAGGGCTATCTTTTTGATTCTGCATAACAGTATTAAAGGATCTTCCATTCACAAAAGCGAAGTTTCCAATGTGACAAGAGTTTCTCTACCATATAAAATGTTCACTGGACAGTGTAAGTGAAAGCACATTTTCAGACTATTATGAGATATGATTTTTTTTTTTTTCTGAGAGTAATGGCCTCACTGAATAGCAGGTGATGACGCTAAGGAATTACTCTCACATTTTCCATGAAATGATCCCCATTACACTGTGCCATTTCATGATCTGTTGAGAGAAACCGGATTAAATTAATTTCTGGAGGAATTCAATTGGAATGAGCAGCCTGGCAATTCATCTAATGCTTATGGACTTTCTATTTCTCTACTGCCCTTCCTTGAAAAAGGATAATGAGTTCTTCACATCTGTGTCGTTTGATGAGGCTGTCGTTTGATGAGGCTCCCCATATGTCATCCCAGTTCAGTTCCGGCAGAGGGAGCAATGGGCTAAAGCTCCTGTAAAGCCAGTTTCCATTTCAAACATTTTATCCTGAGCATGCGTGACGTTTGATAGAGGGGAATCTTTCCCTGCCTAGCAAGAGTTAACTTAAAATCCATAGCAGGCTGACTAGGGAACTAAATAAAAGACATAGACGTTTTCCTAGAAGGCACGAGAACATCGATAGCTGCAGCCAAGTACAACAAAGAAGCTGAAGCCATCCCCATATCCGTGGTGGCTGTGGGAGCTCCCCTTTCAGCACACCTTAGTCCTCAGCTGGTGGGGCTGCCGAGGTGTGGGAGTAACTCGGTGCTTGATTTCTCTGCTGAGATTACCAAGAAGTCACTACAGATTGTCATAGCAAGTTTCAGGTCGTTTTAGCTTTAGCCTGTGAAAACCATGTTTCTCCTGATGGTTATGAGCAGGAACCCAATCCTAATAGCACTCTATTCCCACAAACTTAGGCTGAGGTGGATCTAGATGAGTAAAATATAATGAAAGTGTTTGCCTTTCTGAAATCAGGCACTGCCTAATATCCTCCTATCTCAACTTGCTGTTCATCAGTTCTGCCTGATCCTACCTAAATACTAGAAAAAGAGAGGAGTTTTTTTACTGGACAGGGGACTCCAAATGCTTCATCTCCCTGTGCTTCCCCAACAGTTTGTTCCAACACTGAAAGCTACAGAGGAGAGCACTGTTTGTCATGAACACAAGAGCTCGGTCATAGCTGCACAGCAGACACAAGGATAACCACTGCTGTGCAGCAGCTTTTACATTTCTCTTGTGGGAAAATTCCAGTGAAGAAGTACTGGCAGGCAGCTGTTATTTTTAGTAAATAAAATGCCTATTCTGAAGTTCATTCCTTAAATGTGACTTGACTATAGGAAGTGAATTTTGTCCGTTTTTTCCTCATCTCCTCTGAAAGTTCCCACTGTTGTTGGTGTTCCCCAGAACCAAGATCAAAGGCAGAGGGGAGCTGAGGAAAAAGGGCGAGCGAAAGAGGGAGCTGGGAAGCAGAAATTCTTTCACAAATTTGTTTCACAGAGGATGAAACATGCCCCGGGGCATGAAAGGAGTTAGCTGTAGCTCCCAGTTTCCCTGCCTGATGTGCAGGCGGTGTGACCTCCAAGGACCTTGGAGCATCTCCAGGTTGCTCTGTGCCCTGCCTCTGGAGGACTAGAGACCTTCATTTCCACTACAGTGGGTACAGATGATTCCAGAAACAGGAGAGCATCTGGCTGTTATATATTTGACTTCCCTTTCATCCATCATTTAAGTGTTCTAAAACTGATCATTAAAGAAATTATAAGTATTAAATCCTCCATTCTGCCGTCAGTAATGTGCTTATTCCTCATAAACTTAATTTACCCTTGATGTCTCTCTGGTGATAATGTCTCTTAGAAAGGGGTGATAGGAGAAAAGAACAAATAGCTTAGTATTCTGATACATTATTTATGGTCCGAGGCAGGAATTCATAAAAATCTCAAGGGCAATGCTGCACTCCTCCTGTTCTTTTTTAGAACATATTTGTCAAACCGTATCAGGGCTTCAGTGGCAGCCACTGCAGGAATCAAAAGAAATGGCATGGGAGGAGTTAAGAAATCCTTCTGAATTCTCAAAATAAACGCCAGGTGAGGGAAACACCAGCCCTCAGGTTACTTTTCCCTGTAAACCGCCAGGGGCATGTGCTGCAGTTCCCATTTAACAGCACTCAAGCCACCTCTATCCTTGGCATCTACCAAACACGGGTTTTCTGTCAAAAGCCGTGTGCAGGTTGGTGTAGGCTCCAGCATTTGTTTTTCCTTACGTGGACACATGTTCCCAGAGGTTTTGAAACAGTGGATAAGGAGGGCACTGTGTCTCTTGGTATGACTCACCCAGCTGTGTTTGTAAAAGTGGCTATTTTGTAAAGTCTGCTTGAAATTCAGCGAAGTGATGCTAACTGTGAGGTGCTAACAGCATGACATTTTATCTGACTGGTGTGAAAACATTTTCACTTCCAGCAGCTGAACCCATAGCAGGAATTTATATTGCCCTATCCCTACAGTGTTTTGGGAGTGCCTGAGTATATCCCGTAGAGCGAAAAATTTAATAGTGTATGATTTAGTAGTGGCTTAAAATAGTTCTCTAGCTCCGAATAACGAGCAGAAAGCTATGTTACTTATTGTGAGTGTCAGACTTGATGTGACTGAGAGGTTGCATGTACCGTGAACTTCTCCTGCAGGGAGGCAGACAGCTCGGCTGTGATCAGCTCTCGTGGCAGCGCTTTGATGAAAGGGGCTGTTTCAGTCCCTTGCCCAGGCTGAAAGCCACGTCGGTGCCAGCATCTCTTTCCCCTTCTCACAGCCTGGATGGGTTATATTTTCTCAAACATGCATGTGAACTGGGCCAGTGAGAGAGGGAAGAGTACAGAGAGGTCTGTAATTTGCTGTTTATTAACTTGGATTTTTTTTTTTTAGTTTTACTGCCTGACATTTTCCCATGCTTAAAGGAAGTCAGATCTTGACTCGTGTTTTCCTGCTTACTGTTTTTTCTACACCAGAGTGTTGCTGTCTGCTAACAACTGACTTCAGTGTATTTCTTTTAGCAAAATTAACATGACCCAACTGATCTGCAAACAGCATGATGCCTTTAAGTTGAGGGATGGGTGACAAGAACAGCAGACGAGGGCTCTTGCCAAGACCTGTTTAACCCCTTGTGATTGTTTTGCAGACTCAAGGGGCGGGCTCCCCACGTTCCTCACCCAGCCACACTATCAGTCGACCAATTCCAATGCCCATCAGGTCTGCCTCTGCCTGCTCCACCCCAACCCACGCACCTCAGGACTCTCTGACCGGAGTGGGAGGAGATGTGCAGGAAGCCTTTGCACAAAGTAAGACTCATTAATAGGTTGCCTGAGGTACTCGGAGACTGAAGAATAGTTATGTGTTGTGGTTAATGACTAAATGAACTTGAGCTTCCGAGTTTCATGCAATGAAACAAAACAAACAAAACAAAAAAATTGCAACAACTGTGTTTTTCCATTGAAAATCAACGTTGTCAGCCATCAGACTGCTGTCAAAGCAAGCAGGTAAGCAGAAACTAGACAATGATGCCAATTAGCGGATGTTGTGGTAAGAGGGAATTTTGATGCATAATGGTCAGACCAGTTATCACGGATCTGTTAACGGGAAGAAAAATTGGTATTGACCTCAGCAAGGTGTTGTCAGTGTGTTTCATTTTAAATAAGGACTTTGCTAGGAGTAAGTGATGCAATCATGGAATTAGTTCAGGTAGAAAGGGCTCTTGCAAGTCACCATGTCCTCCTGCTCCACGAAAGAGGGCTTCAAAGTGAGGGCAGACCACTCAGGACCTTTACCGGTTGAGTTCTGGATGGCTCCTGGCATGCGTTTTCCACAGCCTCTGTTCCAGTGTTTGACCATGCTTACCGTGTAACTTTTTGTCCTTGTATCTGATTGGAACGTCCCTTGATGCAACTTGTCCCTTGTCCTTTTGATTTGAGCCTCTGAGAAGGTTCCAGACTAGACAGGAATAGAGTCTGGAAGTCTAGGCAAAGCCTTCCTTTGCATTTCCAGAAAACTGCCGTAGGCTGCACCGTGTTTCTCACTCCTCTTTCCACTCTTTTGTCAAGTAACAACAAATCGCGAACTGTGTTGAATTCTAAGGCCACAGATTAAATTATAGGACAGTTTCTAAGAGTAAGAGAAATAATGTAGTGGCCGCGATAAAATATCCATAAATAATACTAAGGCTGCCTCAGGCAGATGCTTTTCAAGTATATAAATGTGCTCTGTTCATGAGAAAAAGCAATATAAAAAGGTAAGCGATCACATTCAAAAACTGCTGCATTTGATAAATATCTAGCTTTATGTCATTATTTACCATATTCTCTAGATGGGAAGGTCAAACCTAAAGAACTTCCAGCCAGCCGTTCTGTCACATCTTGACATATGGCTTTGTGAGGGGAGGGTGGGCTGAGATTTTACAGCTCTGTTCTGTGCTGCACTGAGGTCTGCCTATATATATATGTGTGTGTGTGTCTGTGTGTGTATAATGCAGATATGCCATGGTTAAAGCATGGTTTCTCTTTGTTTTTTTTTCTCTTTCATAGTGTTTGCAGTAGTTCAGAGATACAAAATTGATAAGACTTTAGAAAGGGAATGACTGTCTCTGTGTGTGTGTGTGTGTAAGAGGGAGATTAACGACTTTAATTTACATTCTAGAAACCATTTGCTAATGGATATATTAGAAAAAAAAACTCTTCAGGATGTTGGGATTTTTTTAAAATGTATTGTTGTACATTCAGCCAGTTTTAAAGAATCTCCAGCAGTCGAATCCTGCCAATTCCTGTGAATACTCCAGTCTGGAAGATTAGAGATTCTGTGGGATATATTGATTATTCAGCTACAATAGGAGCTGTGTTTGGGATTTGGGAGAGTTAAGGACACGTTACCTGCAGCCTGCTCCTAGGGAAGGAGTGTTTCATGCAGATCACAAGAATCTTTCATGATTTATGGT